CTGAATTATATTGCTCGATTCATCTCGCACCTAACTGCTACCTGTGAACCAATCTTCAAGCTGCTTAAGAAAGATCAAGTAGTACGTTGGAACGATGAATGTCAGGCCGCCTTCGACAGAATCAAAGAGTATCTCCAAGAACCACCCATTCTTATGCCATCAGCTGAAGGGAGACCTCTAATCTTATACCTGACAGTACTTGACAGTTCAATGGGGTGTGTGCTGGGGCAGCATGACGAGTTTGGCCAAAAAGAGCATGCCATTTATTACCTTAGCAAAAAGTTTACCGACTGTGAGACCCGATACTCACTGCTCGAGAAAACTTGTTGCGCTTTGGTATGGGCTGCTCGCCGGCTGAGACAGTATATGCTGACTCACACTACTCTGTTAATATCAAAGATGGATCCAATAAAGTACATATTCGAGAAGCCTGCTCTGTCTGGAAGAATAGCAAGATGGCAGATGATCTTGACAGAATACGACATCCAGTACACAACTCAAAAGGCAATCAAGGGAAGTGTATTGGCAGACCACTTGGCACACCAGGCAGTAGACGACTACCAGTCAATGAACTTTGAATTTCCTGACGAGAACATCATGGTAGTGACTGATTGTGAAGTACCTGGACCGGATGAAGGACCTGAGGAAGGATCCCGATGGTCTATGCACTTTGACGGAGCCTTAAACGCTTTGGGTAACGGCATTGGCACTGTGATCATATCCCCCAAAGGCACTCATACTCCACTCACTGCCCGGTTATGTTTCAACTGCACCAACAACATGGCGGAGTATAAAGCATGCATCATGGGTCTTCAGGCTGCGATTGACTTAAGGATCAAGTTTCTGAGTGTCTTCGGAGATTCCACTCTCGTGATCAATCAGATCAAAGGCGAGTGGGATACGAAACACCCAAACCTTATTCCTTACAAAGAGTGTGTGTTGACATTGATCCCCCATTTCACGAAGATAACTTTTGAACACTTCCCAAGAGAGGAGAATCAGTTGGCGGATGCACTGGCTACAATGTCTTCTATGTTCAAAGTTAAATGGGATAATGAAGCTCCCTGGATCATTATCTGGAAACTGGATGAACCTGCATATTGCTGTGATCTTGAGGCTGAGACGGTAACTGAAAAACCTGGTATCATGAGGTGAAGAGGTACCTGGAAGCTCAAGAATACCCTGAGGGTGCGTCCATCAACGACAAGAAGTTCTTGAGAAGGTTCGCTGCAAAGTTCTTCCTCAACAACGGCATTCTATACAAGCGAAACCATGATTCAACCTTACTGCGTTGTGTGGATAAAGCTGAAGCAGAAAGGATCATGGAAGAACTACATGAAGGTACCTTCGGGACACATTCCAGTGGACACGCCATGGCAAAGAAAATCCTGGGCAGGATATTTCTGGTCCACAATGGAAGCTGACTGTTACCAACATTCCCGGGCATGTCATAAGTGCCAGATTTATGCTGATAAGGTGCACGTTCCTCTAGTTCCTCTGAATGTCTTGACTGCACCCTGGCCTTTCGCGATGTGGGGTATTGACATGATCGATGAGATTAAACCTACGGCATCCAATGGGCATCGCTTCATCCTGGTTGCAATTGATTACTTCACAAAGTGGGTTGAAGCAGCTTCCTATGCTACGGTAACCAAGAACGTCGTGGAACGGTTCATTCGGCACAACCTGATCTGTCGATACGGCGTCCCGGAAAGGATCATTACGGACAATGGTACCAATCTTAATAGCAAGATGATCACTGAGCTCTGCGAGCAATTCAAGATACAGCACCACAACTCTTCCCCCTACCGGCCGAAGATGAATGGGGCTGTAGAAGCAGCTAATAAGAATATCAAAAAGATTGTGCAGAAGAGGAAAGTGACCTATAAAGATTGGCACGAGATGTTACCGTTTTCTCTTCATGGGTATCGTACCTCAGCAAGAACGTCAACCGGGGCAACTCCTTTTTCCTTGGTCTATGGCATGGAGGCAGTCTTGCCAATTGAAGTCCAGATACCCTCTCTCCGGATAATGAAGGATGCAGGTTTGAGCGAAGATGACTGGATCCAGACTCGACTTGATCAGTTAAACCTAATTGACGAAAAGAGACTCACTGCTATTTGTCATGGTCAAACGTATCAAAAACGGATGATCAGGGCATTTAACAAGAAAGTTAGACCACAAGAGTATCAAGTTGGGGACCTGGTAATCAGGCGCATCATTCTTCCTCAAAGTGATCCCAGGGGAAAATGGACCCCCACGTACGAAGGGCCATTCGTGGTTAAACATGTCTTCTCAGGAGGAGCCATGATTCTAACCACCATGGATGGTGACGACCTTCCTCACCCCGCCAATGCAGACATAGTAAAAAGATACTACGCATGATAAAAGACCCGCTAGGTTGACATACCTAGGAAAAAATAAGGGCTTCCCGGCGAACCAAAAGGGTTCGGACAAAAATAAGGGATGAAATGAAAAAAATTTGTACACCCGGCAAGTCGAAAACCTGAAAAGGCGGCTTGGGAAAAAATGGGTATCCCGGTGGACTGAAAACCCGAAAGGGTGGTCCAGGCAAAAGTTAGGGATAAGCGTAATACTATGTCTCATTGGATCACCTTGTATCCAGAATCCGGTATCAACAGCAAGTTCAGACGGCATCAATCAATCAGCTTCATCTTCAACTAAGCAGCCAAGTGATGAGACGCTCGAAGACATAAAGGCGATAGCAGTCTTAGTATAAGATTGTTCCCCGGAGGAATACAAGATTGTTCCTAAGCAAGCATCCCCGGCAGTCTTAGTATAAGATTGTTCCCCGGAGGAATCCAAGACATCCAGTGGAGCCACTCCCCAGTCCAATCTGAAAAGTTTCCCCAGGAGAGTTCAATCAATCTCCCCAGTGGATTCAGGAAGCTTATCCCCAGTAGATTCTAGAAGTTTATCACCTGCAGAGTACGAACGCGCCTCCCCGGTTTGATTCAAAGGTTATTTCCCCACCAGGATATAACTGGGTTATCCTCAGCCAATTGCCACGGAAAGGTCGTCCCCGGCGAAGTCTTCCTATCCCCAGCGGAGTTCATCAAATCTTCCAACAGAGTTCAACAATGGTATCCCCAGCGGAGTTATCATCAACATCTCAGCAAAGTGCCTCACTCCCCATAGAGCACTCCCCACAGAGTAATCTCTCCAGCAAAGTTTATTCCTCAACGGAGTCATCTTCTCCTACCGGTTTATTCTTACAACCATCATCCCCAGCGGAAACGAAGAACTCTACTCTTCAACCTCAGTCCAGGATTCAACAAACTTCCCGGCATCCGTCAAGGATTTATTTCCCTAGACCAAAATACATTCATAAACATCACATCTTCATACATTATAGCATGCACATACGCATCATGGACATACAATCTCATCTATTCTGAGAACATCACGCATGTCATACATCATGACATTACATACAACTAACGTTTTGTCTTTTCAGGACCAAGATCAATACAAAGATGATCACTATCAATGGTCGCAATTCCAGATTCGATACCTGTATCTAGCCAGGGTATATTTGTGAGCGATTACCTGTGGATTCGACACCTGTATCTAGCCAGGGCATATCTGCATTCCAGACTCGATTCTTGTATCCTGCCAGGGCACGTCTGAAGAGTTTGAAGATCCGATTCCTGTATCCTGCCAGGGTGTATCTGTTGACGACTATTTTCCGAACTCGATTCCTGTATCCTGCCAGGGCACGTCTGAAGAGTTTGAAGATCCGATTCATGTATCCTGCCAGGGTGTATCTGTTGACGACTATTTTCCGGACTCGATTCTTGTATCCTGCCAGGGCACGTCTGAAGAGTTTGAAGATCCGATTCATGTATCCTGCCAGGGTGTATCTGTTGACGACTATTTTCCGGACTCGATTCCTGTATCCTGCCAGGGCACGTCTGAAGAGTTTGAAGATCCGATTCTTGTATCAAGCCAGGGTGTATCTGTTGACGACTATTTTCCGGACTCGATTCCTGTATCCTGCCAGGGCACGTCTGAAGGGTTTGAAGATCCGATTCCTGTATCCTGCCAGGGTGTATCTGTTGACGACTATTTTCCGGACTCGATTCATATATCCTGCCAGGGTACGTTGTAATACCCCAAATTTGTCCTACCCCTTTTACTTCCTATCTGGCTTACGCATTTTTGAATTTTTCTCACATTAGGTCATCTAACACATCATGCATCATTAATTGATAAATTGGCATAAGATCATGGATTTCGAGGAATAAGGGTTGGTGTATGGCTTTAAGGCTCTCATCTTCGCACAAGCTTGTTTCGGTTGATTTCTCCATTAATAATCTGTTTGAAGCTAGGTTTTCATTTCATGGACCTTATCATCATCAAGCTACGATGCTATTCTTTTCTTCTCAATGTCAAGTTGCAAGGTTTTATGAGACGAAGCTAAAAATCAGGGTTTATACATTTTCATATTTGAGCTTGTCAGCATTCTACCTGAGGTTCATTCCATATCAAGGTATTCGCATGTCTCATCTTTCATATTCATCTGCAAAGAATCCCTCAAGGCATAGTCATTGTCATCTATTGAGAAGGGGTCCAAGACGTCGTTGTTCTAGTGCTCATATAGTCGGGACATGGTACAAGATGTTGATTGTGATCAAGGTGTCATTATTTCAAATGCTTATTGCTTGACATGCAAATTTGGTTTAGATCGGAAAATTGAATTGAATTAGGGATTCACTGAAGTTGTAGTTTGATTAGAATTCATTCATTAATATTTGAAGTGGATTTGGAGAAAATCAAAGTTCTTAAATATTTGCGTGGTTTTTCTTGGAATTCAAACCACAAGTATGAAAAAGCATGCAGCATAATTCTATATGACATCATCATTCACTTGAAACCAACTCTCGGTGACAGAAAGGCAATGCTTCACGCAATTGTCCTATCCTTGTATCCCCTTCATTGGTTCTTCACTTTTCTTTATTATACAGATGTTGCATCCGTTACTGATGTGCTGGCCATGTATCTTGCAAGTTTGGAAAAGAATTACTGGTTAAGTGCATTGGTAAGGTTGGAGCCTTTGCAGTTGTTGTTCGACAAACAAATATTATATGGGTGCTTTTTGCTGCATGCATTAGTATAATAGATATTTCTCTAATGCATGGAAAAGGCAATGTAAGAACAATCAAGTCAGATGTATCAGTTGAGCATGATTTCACATATGTTACTGGTAGAAGCGCAAAGGGTTTAAATCTTAAAAGGAGAAAGTCTGTCAAAACCATATCATAACCAAATACCCAACACCATTTACAATATCCAAAAATATACTACAAAAAACAAGAAATACAATTAAAAGTGCATATATTGATTCTCATCATCGCTTTTTGTGTGGCCTCGTCGTGTTTGAAATGCAACCTTGTTGCTTCCATCTTCATTACCTTCTTCATGACCAAACCGGCGTATTGTAACTTGCCATGGTCTGTGCCTTTTTTTCCAAAGCAATCCTGAACATTTACACAACAAAAAGAAACAGTTATTATCAATTCCAAAACAGCCCTGCACATAACAAACTCTAACAACCCCTAACCAAAATTCCAGCCAACTAACTTCTAACAAAAAAGAAACTAATAACTGACTTCAAACTAACTTTTACAGAGTTGTATATAACAAAATAGAAACAGACCCATAGCATGATTTATCTCCACCATTAGATCCCTAACATCTAACTGACCTCCTAATTATTCTAACAGCTTCCTAACCAAATTCATAAACCAACTACCCATAACTAACTCAACAAACTTCAAGCAGAATACAACTGACTTGCAACAGAAAATAACATAACAAACTTCTAACTTTTCCATAACTTCTAACTATAACCAACTTTTTTTCCCACCTCCTAACCACCTAACAGAATTTCTAACCTCCTAACTATAAAAACAAACTTCCAGCATAACATAAGAGGAGGCAGAACATTATATAGATACGATTTCAACAGAAAAAAAGATTGGATTACCTCTCAATTTCCCAGAAGAATCACCGCCATCATCAAAGCCTGAATCAACTTCACCATCTTCAAAGCCTGAATCAACTTCACCATCTTCAAAGCCTGAGTCACCGCTATCGTCAAAGCCGGAATCATCTTCACGGTCATCAAAGCCTGAATCACCGGAATCATCAAAGTTGATCGACATTCCTTAAAGGATACTACGAGATTTCCAACTGGTATCATCACCATCAAAGTTTGGATCACCGCGATCATCAAAGCCTGAATCTCCTTCAAACATTCCTCAAAGAATACAACGAGACTTCCACCTGGATTCACATGGACATCATCCACCATCGGATTCTCCAATTCCACGACAAACGTTAACACCTCAACCACTTCCATCTTTTCCCTCATCCGGTAACTCTCCTCAAACATCACCCACAAAGACTCCTGCCAACTCTCCTGAATATACACCGAAAACCTCTCCATAACCATCACCTTCCTCTATCTGTTTCTCTGCACTCTCCACCACACACTGAGTTCATTTCTCCACTTTAACATCACTACATATTTGCGCTCTCTCTGTTCACACATCAACTACAACTTCTTGGCATTCAGAAATCAGAGAAAAGAGAAATCATGCAAAGGTAGAAGAAGGAAGAAGAGCGAATCTGATGGTAATCGTACCTGGAGCGAGAATCATCCAGCGTTCTGTATTTGTTCGTTGTTGTCAAAGACGCCTCGCACGCTCTCATACTCCTTCGCCGCCGTTTGAATCTGAAAGAAGATGCGATATGTTAGACGCCACAGATTGAGAAGAAAGGAGGTTGAGGACGGTCACGAGGGGATTTACGGCGGAGATCGTCGGGAAAGGTAAATCGGAAGAAGAGAAGACGGCTTCGGAAGCAGAGACGGAGAGGTTGAGTGATATCGCGGAGGAGAGCTGAGCACGGCGGATGAAGAAACGGAAGCGAGGAAGCGAGATGATGAGGTTGAAGAGGCCGGCGGCGCCGCTTCTGTGCGTGAAGGAGAGAAGGATACATTTTTTCTTAACCCTAAAATCCCTTTCCAATTTCATATATTTTTTTCCATTTAGTTTAACTATTTTATTATTTTATATTTTTATTTCAAACTAATAATAATAATAACTAAGTAAATAATAAATAAAATGTTGAAAGTGCTTATTGGACTCACTCTTGTTGGGCCTGGTGCCATTTTAATTTTTGCTTGCAGCATACCCATATTTCTAGACTTCATACCCCCTAACTCTTCTAATTTTTTTTCTTTTCTTTTATTATTTTAGTTTTTTCTTTTAGTTTAATTTTTTTTGTCAATTGACAATAATGATACAAAATAATAGAATATTTTAGATTTCTTTAGAATTTCTTTTTAGAATTTCTTTTTAGAATTTCGATTAGAATTTTTTCTATTTTATTTTTCATATTTGGTAATCATTCTCATTGACTTTTTCAATCAAGATTTTTGTGATGGCATTGATATAACTCTTGCAATATGGAATACTCGGGGTTAATTCTTCAATCACTTGCCCAAGGGAACTTTGATAGAATTTTCTTACCGCTTGCACAATTTTGAAGAGGCAACGGACCTTCTCCGTTCGGTATCGTCACAACCTTATTTTATCCTTTATTTCAGTACTTTATCGCAAACCATATGCGTGCTGACATTAGGTAGAATTCCCTCATTAATTCTAACTTTAGGTCTAACAATACATAATAACATTAGGTGTAGAAGTAAGCTAGTCTCCTTCTGACTTTTCTTTCCCCTTTTGCATTCGCATCTAAAACTAAAACTTTTTTTTTTCAAAATTCAAAACACTTAAAAAAAACTATTGATGAGAATCATGCTTTTGTTTAGTACGGGAAATGATAAGCGGGTCTCTTCTCGATCTTATTGTTCTTCATCTCAAGCATAGGTGTGGTTCAATTCTCAAAGACTCCTTTCATGACTAAGTAGAAAAGCGACTAATATCTCTCTCTTGAGGTCAATCAGTCATCATCTACAACCAAAATACAAAACAAATTCAAATCTTTTGTGCGCTCGAGCACTTTTCTTTTAAAACCTTTTCAGGTAAGGACACGATTAATTTACTTCTGTGCCAACGCATAAGTCTCCAAAGGTCGAGCTGCGGCAGAAGGCGGGATTAACTTCGTCCATAAAAAACACAAAACAAACAAAAAATGTGAGCCGAACTACGGTAGCTCTGATTCCTCAAAAAGGATACGTAGGCATTGGGGTAGGGCCCAAGCGAGCATAATTTTATTTTCCCTACATTCTTTTCTCCTTTCTTTTGCATGCATTCCTTCAGTAGTATAGTAGATAGTAAGCATAGATTAAACACACCCATAAGATAGACAACAAGAGTGGATACCGTAGAGTACTACGGGCGTGTGGGGTGTTAATACCTTCCCCTCGCGTAACAGACTCCCTTACCCGATCTCTCGGTCGCAAGACCGTGACTTCTCCCTTCTCAGGTTTTCTCGATGTTTACCTTTCCCTACATGTGGGATAAAAGACGTTCGATGGCGACTTCATTGTTTTGATGATTTTCAGCCGGTTGTTTCAGCTGGCGACTTCACTGGGGATAAAGTCGACCAAATGCTGGTCCATCCCGGAGTCGCTCCTAGCTCTTGTGTTCTTTCCTTAGGGTGTTTATTTTTATGCTTTCGGTTTACTCATTTGTACATGTTTGCATTGCATTTTATGGCTTTCCATATCTGTTATCTAATATGCTGAACTTTGTTCTCTATGTTGGGTTGGGATGTCACTTTTGAGGTAAAAGGCCCAGTACCCAGGCCAGAGTGCACTAGGACACCTAGGAATAGAGTGGGGGCATGACGGCTATAGGACGTGGTCCGATTAGTGCAGTCATATCATATACCACGCTCGGATGAGGTTCAAATGAATTACTATCGGCGCCCACGTCTGTGGGCAAGCCCATAGCACTTTCAGGCGAACCCATGATTTTCGAGTTACCATTATCTTACCCTGACCTAGTTTTCACCCGTGAGTGGGGAGGGAATTTCTATCACAGGTACAGATGGTGACTGTGTTCAGATTGTTATACAGGTACAAATGGTAACTATGCTCAGACAATGACTACTGATTCTAATGGCTATATTCTAGATTTCTGTTAAGACTTTATGCAGATGCTATATCTTGTTGGTGACCGTATGGTTCTCAGATTTATTTTCTGAGATCCTGACTTGTTTACCTGGAGGTTCATTCAATCCTTCAATCTTGGTATTCCCAGCATGTTCATAAATTCTCAACAGTATCCAATGTTCCAGAAGCCTTGACCCCGTACAATGGGAGATCCACAGGGTACTTGGTTCTTATATGTGCGGAAGCTATGTCAGACCTTTAATCTGATGATACTCACATGATTCATAGCAGTGCAGCAATCTTATTCAGGAATGATGGAACCTCGATCCTCTCTGATCTCATGCCTTTGCATACATAACACGGCTAACCACATGCCTAACACACATGTTCTATTATTTCCAAGGGATCATATTTGCAAGTCTTGTGCTATACTCTCCCATCCCTTACTTGCGTAAAATCAAAATCAAAGCACGCAAATTCCTTGGAAATGGCAAAACATGACATGGCATTCATTCATACACTCCATGTATATTCATGCATTTATGACAGGTACCCGAAGATTGGGGATTCTTATTCAAACCTGGGGTTCTCTTCAAAGGCTCAACCTGGTTTCTCACCGCACGTGTTCAGGGACCAGCTATGGAATAACTCTGAGTGGTACATGCAAGCTTTGGCTCATAGTCAGAAACTTCTTCAGGCAGGAAGATAATGGATTAAAGAGTCAGATAAGCCAGGTCATGGAAACTCTGATGATGATGTCTATTATTTCTTTAAAAACATGATGTGCTTGGTGATGCATATTATACTGGGGCACTTGGCCAATTGATTGAAGATGGTATGTCATCCAGAGACCAATGTCCAAGACAGGCTCAATCCATAGACTATTGTGTTCACATCAGATCTGAAAGGGAATTCTCTCGCACACTCGAGCATCAAGACTACAGAAAGTCGTCAGAATCAGCAAGTCCATACGGAGTCAAGTCTGCTCAACAGTGGCAATCATTGGTTTCTTTAATGCATTTTCATTTGCATTCTTGCTTGTTTGTTTAAACATCGCTTGTATATAGAAACTTGTCTATTTTTGAACGAAAATCTTAATGCAATAAATATGCTTGTCTTGAAGTGTTCCTTTCATTTTTACTCATCCATTTGTTATCACTCTTTAAATGTTTTGCTTGCATGTTGATGCCAGATTTCCTAGTCTTATGCTTAGGTAAGGATTCAAAGGAGGATGACGATAATCTGAAAATGCAAAATCTCTGGTTGGTATGCTTTTGAGTAAGACCCTACTGACGATGTACAGGCCTTGTTTCGATCCCCAAACACCGGAGATATAAGGGAGATAGACCCTCGTCAACCCCTCTGAGCCTTCGAAGTAGGAGTTTTCTTTCTATTCAGAAAAAACCCTCATTTCAACCTTGGGGCGGGTAGTGTTCAGCTAATCTGTTCAAGCATTCAGAACTCATCAAGAGTGTGCATCCAAGGATACGACAATGGTTATCCATCAAAAGATTGAGAAAAGTCAAAACCACAATGGTTCACCCTCATCTATCAACAACGTGCATCAATATCCCGATGGATATCTCTCGCACATCAGGAGGTCAACAAATGACGATACTAAAGACTCAGGCAGTCACGATCACTTCCGACAAATCAAAAACAACTCAAAGATCAACGACTTGTTCAAAATGAAAAAAATACGGATAAGAAAGAAACAAATATCCCCGCTAAGTCAAAACTTGAAAACAAGTCGCTTAGGCAAAATTGGGGCATCCCGCTGGACTTCCAAATCGAAATTCAAAAGAATTTGTCCAGGCAAAAAAATAGGGAAAGCAAGAAAGAAATCGAAAAGCCTAAAAGGCGAGAAAAGGATTACCAACGAAAATCCTCATCAAAAAACAAAGTCGTCTGATCAGACACCAAAGGCAAAGAAGTTAGTGACCGTCGTGTCCAAGAAACCACAGTGGTTCCTCAACTATCGCAAACTCTTCTAGAGAGATGAATGCTTATATCAGGTCAACTGAACGTAGGAATGGAGAACATCATGGAGAATGGGTGGGCACCAAATAATTTTGAGCCTTAAATTCTTTTTCTAAAACTGTGAACCAGGCCACGTTACAACCCATAAAAGTCCTAATTGAAGCATGGGTCAATTTGAAAGCGTGCTACAACGAGATAGCGTTTAACTGACTCCTAAGAGGTATGTTTGAATATCTGTGTTGGCATCATATGCTTGCATTATCTTTCGTAAAAAAGAATTTGCAAATGTTTCTCTCTAGCTAGTGACTCGTTCACAACAGAGTTGTGACGTCATTTCATTCAAAGTTTTTTCAAACTTCAAGACTTACATATGTGCTGCATTAGGATTATCA